TTTTCTGTTGTCCATCCCCCAGGGAGGAGGTTATATGTAGATCCTTGTAATTGGTTTCCTCTTTGCACCCCATCCTCCCTCCACCCTCTATATAGATACTTTTATTGTTTTCTCATCTTTTAGTATATGTGCCACCGAAGCAAGCACTGTTTTCTCATCTTTTAGACAATTTGTGTATGTCTATGTTGATATAATAGGAGAAAGATGAGGTTATCTGCTCCCATAAAGATGTACAACCATAGAAACCTTTATGAGTCATAATCAACTTGATGGGTATAGGACATAAAATTGATGTTATTTTTTGGTTTTAATTTAATTGAGACTTAATTTCTTGCTTAACTTTTACAATGACATTGAAAATAATTGCAGAAGAAAAGCTTCAAACATGATTTGAAGTTTGTTGAGTAAACATGTTTACTTGTTTACTTGAAATGAAATGAAAATACTTTATGTAAAATCACCTTATAAACTATATTTAAAGTGTGATATCAAGGAGGAGCATTCTTTCTTTTGAGAGATTATATGTATTTTTATGGTTAAGTTCCTGTTTTTATATAATCATTTCATTGTAATATTAAATGTATTAGTAAACCATATGAAATTTAATGTTTATAGGACAAAAACAATAAAATATCACCACGTTTATATGATTCAACCTACCAAAGGAATTGCACATAAATTAAATATTATTTTGTGGCTTCTAACCTTGAAACATTTATATGAAATTATAGAATGTCATGAGTACATTTTATTTTTGTTTGATGACTAACAGTATTTTTATTTAGTCTTACAATAAAGACCTAGAAACAGATAAACCACCATACAACAGCCTAGAGAGAAACATGGAACCAGCGACAAAGACAGGGATGGCCCTGGAAGAGTTCCGGAGGCTCACTGATGAAGTACAAGCGAAGGAGAAAGAGCAGAGTAAATTAGGTGAGTTATCCTTACAGATGAACATCTATTACCATGTTTGAAGTACATCCTCTTGGTGTGATGAAGCATGAGTGCTCCAAGGGGAAAAATTAAGATAAATATATAAAAGTTGGATTAAAAGCATTTACCTATCATAAAGTACACAACTTGTTAAGTAGACACTTAACAGGACAGAAAACTCCTAGCATCCCAGAAACCTCTTTGTTCCCTCTGCATCCTCTATTAGTAATTGTACTAATTTAAGCTCCCATCAGCACAATTATGAAGTTTTGGTTCCACCTTACTTTGTTAATGTTTAGTTTTGCCAGTGTTATTAATTTTACCTTTTCCAGTATGTAGTTATGTTAGGCCAAGTTGTTTAGAGAAACAAATCCAGTGACACCCGTCTATATGTAAGAGCTTTATATCAAGAAGTAGTTATATATATCAAGTAGTTATATATCAGTCCAACTCAAGGCTCTAAGTCCAAGGCTAGTCCATACGTCTCTCTTCAGACCATTGTAGCAGCCAGTGATACAGAATGGTGTACTGTAACATCACACGTGAGTAGTTGCAGAGTCACAAGGATCCAAGGTTGGTGGGAACCTGGCAGGGTGCTGGCAGCTCTTGGCGTTAGGCAGCCCACATGGGGCCACTCCTCAGGCAAGCAGGGTTCCAGGAGGCAGGAAGGGAAAGGGTCAGAAAGAGAAGAAGGTTCCCAGTGTCTTCAGGCTCATAAAAAGGCCACACCTGCAAAGAGGAATCTGCTGAGCTATCACCTGACTGACTGGCTGAACTTAGCCCTTGCCTAGGAGTGTCTAGTTGACATAATATCTGACCAGCACTGTAGTGTCTTTATTTAAATTGTGGATATATTTTTCAATTCTGTGATGGCTAATGACATTAAATTCCTTCCACATATTTTTGCTTTGAATATACTATTTTATGAAGTTCTTGCTCCAGTTTTATGTACATTTTTATATTGAGTTGGATTTTTGTTTTGTTCATTTGCAGTAGTTCTTTATATACTCTGAATATTAGCATTTTGTTATAAGCATTATGAATTTTTGTTTGATTGTGTTGTCATACAGAAATACTAATATTCATCTTGGCAGGTTTAACAGTTATTCCTTAAGGCTTCTAGGCTTTCATGTTATACTTAGTAATCTTTTTTATTTCACTACAAGATTGAAAAGTTCACTTCTTTTTTTGTTGTTTTTTAAAATGTAACCAATTCTCACGCACAGACCTTATGTGACCAAATTATTGGCATTTGTGAGGCAATAAGAAAATGTCCATATTTGTATTATTAATTTTTACTTTTCCTTAGTCACATAATTCTTAATAACAAAAATTCAATGCCCTTTCTGATTTCAAAATTGTAAAACTACTTGTATACTTCAAAAAAGGTGGTGTGATGGCTGCTAACCCAAATGCTGGTTGTTCAAACCCAGCAGTGGTTCCACGTAAGAAAGATCTGGCAATCTGCTCCCATAAAGATCATGACCTAGAAAAGCCGATGGGGCAGTTGGACTTTTCACATGAAATTACTACGGCTGAAAT